CCCAGAGCTCCACTCTGTTGTGGCTCTGAGGCTTTGACTGTCACAGAGAGTCACGCACCACACACGTGTGGCATTGGCTCCACCTCCAGGCTGCTGGGGGGTGTTGGATTCAGCCATTGCACAAGTCAAAAGATGGTGAGTGATAGGGGATCCTACAGGGGAGAACACTGAGCCTAAGCGGTGCTGTAAACAAGGCCTGCATGTCTCTGGCAATTCTTCAGGGAGGAACTAGGTTTTGTGAGATGCTGGCTCTCACCTCTGACCACCACAGCCCTGATCAGAAGCGGCAGCGGTTCCAGCTGCCAGGGCCCTGGCAATCTCAACAACAGCAACAAAAACTACTGAAACCGTTGGATTACACACTCCTACAGCAGTGAGTGAGGAAACAGGGGCCACAGCTGGTTTTACTTAATGTCCACAGTGAAATGTTTAGCATTGTTCATATTCTGAAGTTGCACCCCAGTGCCTGAAGAGAGGGGCCTCGGCGGTTAAAACCCTTGCAACGCAAACATGAGAAGCTGAGTTGGAACCCGCAGAAACCACGTGGAGAGTGGGTAATCCCAGAGCTGGGGAGGTGGAGACAGGATCCGCAGAATTAGTGAGCTGACTTTCTGGCCAGCAGAATGAGCGAGCTCTGGGTTTAGAGAGAGACCTTCTGTCGAGAAAAAATAAGGTGGAGAGAGATAGAGGAAGACATCTGATGTTGACCTCTGGTTTTTTTAAATGCGCACTCTCACAGAGGGTGAGGGAAGGGACAGGAGATGGAGAGAGAGACTTACACAGAGAGACAGAGACAGAGAGTAGGGGCAGACATCGTCAACTACATACACGTACATATCACACACACAAAATAATCACAGGCCACGGACGCGCATTTTTGAGGTTATGTGTAACAAAATGGGGAGAAGATTGTCCTAGTTAGGGTTACTACTGCTGTGATGAAACAGTGTGAGCAAAATTAAGCTGGGGAGGAAATGGTTCATTTGGCTCATCTATTCTGATTCTCAGTCCTTTGCAGCCAAGGCAGGAACTCAAACCAGGCAGGAACCTGGAGGCAGGAGCTGATGCAGAGACCATAGATGGGAGCTGTTTACTGGCTTGCTCCTCATGGCTCACTCAACCTGCTTTATTATAGAACCCAGGACCACCAGCCCAGGGGGGCTGGCACCTCCCGTAAGCAGCTGGGTTTTTCCACTTCACTAATTAAGAAAATGCTCTAAAAAGAAAAGAAAAGAAAAGAAAAGAAAAGAAAAGAAAAGAAAAGAAAAGAAAAGAAAAGAAAAGAAAAGAAAAAAATGTTCTAGAGGCTTGCCCGCAGCCCCATCTTATGGAGGCAGTTTCTCAGTTGAGGCTCCCTCCCCACAGATGACTGTGGCCTCTATGAGTTGACATAAAAGTATCAAGCACAAAGGTATTGAGCACTGCAGGGTGCTGTGGCACAGTGGCCCCGTCTTGGCAAGCTCCTGATCTGCTGTTCTGGGACTCGCTAGCTGAGCTGGCTGGATTTGTTTTTCTTTTTAAAAAGATGCCATATTTGGGGGCTGGAGGCATCAAGAAGGTTAGGAGTGCTTGTTGCTCTTGCAGAAGACTGGAGTTCAGTTCCCAGGCCCCGCACAGACGGCTCATAACCTCCTGTAACGCTAGCTAGCTCCAGGGGGTCCAAAGCCTTCTTCAGGCTTGCAGTGGCGCCTGTACTCATGTGCGCTTCTCTCTCTCTCTCTCTCTCTCTCTCTCTCTCACACACACACACACACACACACACATCATAAAATAAAACAAATCTTCAAGAAAAGAATGCTAAATTTACTTGGATCCATAATTGTTCAGACTGAAGAAACTGTCAGGCAGTGTTTTGAAAGTGAAGAAGGCAAGTCTGTCATATCAAGGGAAGCAACTGGTGGTAGTTGTTACTACCAATGAAACTGGAGCTTTTAAGTGAAAAATCTGAATTTTAGAAAACTCTGCCACTGTGATATAGACAGATTCCCAGTGACTGTAGTTTCTGGATGGGATCAAAGACACAGCGACTTTGATTTCCTGATACTGTGTAAATGAAGTCCATTGATATTTGAAAGAGGTAAATAATTCTCAATTCTATGAACCAGCCTGTTCCACAGATAACCCACGCATGTTTGTACAAAACCGTGAGTGGGGAGAGACACATTCAGAGCCTGGGTTTCAGTGTTAGTCTCTGTGAAGCCATGATGATTTTACGTTACAATCCACCGTCACCGACCCCCTCTTGTCTTAAATACATATAGTTTACTTATTTATTGTGGGAGAGGAATGTGCACATACCATGACCCATGCATGGTGGTAGCCCAGGGTCAGCTCGCTTAGGACTGGTGACATCAGCCTTCCCTGCTGCACACGGAGGTGAGCTACTTCTGTGAGCTTTCTCTTCCTTCTGCTTAGACACTCTTCCCTTTGTCATTTTGAGGCCCAAGGTCAGTGGAGAGAGAGTGAAAAATACCTGGATCCCTCGATCACAGAGAGCCACTGGTGCCCCTTGCAAATTGAGATCCAAAGGCCTTGGTTCCAAGAATTAAAAATAAATATGGCCTCACAGATGTGAGCATCCAATTGGACACGTCTTCCAGCTTCCTGCTCTAAGCTTCATGCCCACGAAGAACCAGCGGCTTGGGATGTATTGTGTCCTTCTAGCCACCACAGCACTCACCTAGAGCTGCCTGCCTTGAGGTACCCAGTGGCCCCCTGCTAGGTACACCCTTCCCCCTACCCTGTACCTCCCTCTGCCACTGAAACCTGCCCCTCCTTTCTATTCCATTTTTAGTTTTGTCTTTCCTGTTTTTATTTGGATTTAGGGAAGAATCCCTTTCCATTCTATTTTTAAAAATTGTGTGTGTGTGCACACGCGTGGGCGCCCATGGGCGTGTGAGTGTGTGGATGTCAGAGGTCAGAGGGTCAGTGGTCTGCTTTTACCATGTGATGTGAGTCCCAGGGATTGAACTCAAAGCATCAGGCTTGGCAGTAAGCACTTTTACTCACTGAGCCATATCATTGTTTGTTTGTTTGTTTGTTTTGTTGTTGTTGTTTTGGGGTTGTTTGTTTGTTTGTTTTTCTTGGCAGCCTTGGCTGCCCTGGACTTACTTTGTAGACCAGGCTGGCCTGAAACTCACAGAGATCTGCCTGCCTCTGCCTCCCTGACTGCTGGGATCACAGGCGTGCGCCACCGCGCCCGGCCACCATCTCATTCTTACTGTGAATTGTATGCTTCTTGAAGGCAGGGGAGTTGTTTCATCTTTCCTCTTCCCACGGAGTGTTTCCGAGGTTACACCCTCCCAAGCCTCTGGCGAGAGAGTGGAGTGGAATCTGAAAGCCAAAGCTGCCCCTTGTGCTGTCAGAGGCTCTCCACTAGAGGGCGCCCTCAGCCGATGCCAGAAGCGGTTCCCGCCCCTTGCTCCCTCTGGGCTGGGCGTGGTCTCACGGTGGGAGGGGCCTGTTTCACTATGGCTTCCCAACTTGCCACATCAAATGTCCCCTCAAGCTGGTGGGACACTCCCACTACAGGGAGAAATCCTTTCCATGACACACGTGAAGAAATGAAGACAAGCTAAAATGGAGGAAGTGGAGAACCAGAAAATGTCATGTGTTATGTGGCAAGGCTAGAATTGGAAACCAGTCCTTTTCTAGACCCTGCGGTTCTGCTTAGAGAGACAAGTTATCCATTCTCTCTTTCTCTCAACAAAGTTTATTTAGCACCTACTATGTGTTCCAAGGGGAGCTCATTGGTGAGCTCAACATACACTCCCCGGCCTCCTTCCTAGCACAATTCAACACCTCCCAGGCAGCCTGGACCGCCCCCAACCCCAGCTCTTTCCTCTCTGAATCTTTTCCTTCCCCAGCAGCCTCCTGCCATGGCCATCTGTTGAAAACCCACTCACCCGCTTGTCCAGCTCTTATGACATGAGCAGCCGGTCCTCGAAGGCAGAATCCATATTCTGTGGCACGCCTGTGCATCTCCGACCTGGGATGGAGGTGGGGGACTCCTACTCTAAGATCCCTTACTCTTTGGGTTTTCCTTTGGAAAGGCTTAGGCCTTTGCTTCTCGAAAGCGCACCCCAGGACTGGGGAGATGGCTTAGTAGGTTGTCAGCGAAGCATGAGGATCAGAGCTCAGATCTTCAGAACCTGGCAGGCATAGCAGCCTCCTGTAAGCCCAGCATTTGGGAGGCATGGGGAGCTGGCTAGCTAAACTAGCGGACTCAGGAGCTCCAGATCCGGTGAGAGACCCAACCTCAATAAATAAAGTGCAGAACAACTGAGGAAGATTCGTGACATCAGCTTCAAGCCTATACACACACACACACACACACACACACAAATACCACACACACAGTCACACACACACCACACACACCCTCACACATATGCCACACACACACCACACATACACACTCACAGGCACACACTCACACACACAGGCACACACTCACACACATACCACACAGACACTCACACACACACACACAGCACACATGATATATCCCTCCATACACACAAGCAAAAGAAAAGCACATTAAGACCCTACTCCCCTGCCTCTTAGTCGCCACCTTCCCAAAGACGATGCAAACCTTAGCACTCAACCCCATGAGAGCTGCAGTATGTGGGAGGGGCAGCAGGGGGCCAGGAGTTCACTCTTCCAGCGCCAGTTGCTAGACCATCTCTGAGCTGTCCGTCTCAAGGGAGGAAGCAGCCTCTCTGTCTTTCTCGGGAGACCCTCGACGATGTGCGCATTTGGGCATGAGACTCTGTGATTCTTGGGGTTCCCATGGGTTGGTGGGCTTACAAAGGCAGCTTGGGCTCCCCCCGCCCCAACACCCCTGTGACAGCACCCCTGTGACAACAGCCTGGCTTCCTGGAGACCAAAACCACAAGCAGAGTGTAGAGGCGTGAGCTACTCATAGGCTGGGCCTGCGTGAAGGGGAGACGGGTGTGCAGCACAGAGGACGCTGGGAACAAGAACAGAAAGGGCAACGAGGGTGAGACCGGCCATCGGTGGCACAGCTGCCTCCCTGAACCAGGATGGCGCTTCCTTCAGGCAGGCGTGTGTAGCAGCGGGATACAGCACCAGACATGTGGCTCTTCCTTGGGATCGCTGGATTGCTGACGGCAGTGCTCTCAGGTATATATCTTCCATCGCTTCCCGTCGCTTGGGCTTGAGGACCTGCGTCCTGTCCCATTGGCCTCTTGCCAGCTGTTTGCCTGTGGCCACCTTGGTAGAGCCTTTTAATCTCTGGCCATCCTGGTGTGATAGCACCTTGGGGCTTGAGAGGACACAGGGATGCATTAAGGGGCTAGAACTGGCTGCTCTCATCCTGAAAGGCCTCCTGGGAGTGAGATGGCTGAGCTTTGTGCCTGCCTAGGGCCCTAGGTCTAAGGAGGTCCACCCATCCACAGTTTCTTACCATCTCAGAGAAGGGCAGGGACCCCTCCTTTGAGAAGGAAGACCAACCAGCAATAGTATTTTTCATGTTAAGCCCTGGTGGGACTCATAAGTGCCAAAGACAGAACCCAGGGAGAACCAGCGGACCTTGAGATCATCATCTTGGTGACTTTAGTTCAACCTCCTGGGTTAATTTGAGACACAAATGATCAGGAAGGCTCTTGAGGTCCCGAGCCTTGTGTCCTGGGCCAGGGTTCTAGAGCAAAGGCCCAAGGTCACCAGACACTCATGAGGCGCCTTAGAGTGCCAAGGCCAAGCTGGTTGGAACAGGCAACAGCCTAGAGATTCGGGAGTCCCTGTACATGGTGGGCTTTTACAACTCAGGAAAGGAAGATGGTATAGAAACAGACTTATGGCCTAAGAAGTTAGATCTGCCCCACAGATGGGGAGCCCAGGCAAGGGGTAGGGATATCAGGCTGGACAGAGGCTGTGAGCGCTTGGGGACTTCTAAAGGAGTGTCTCCTTCTGGATCTGCAGGCACATCCTCCAAGCCCCCTGCTGTTAAATTAGCTTGTGTCTTGGACAGTCGGGCTTTGTGGTCCTTTCTTGACCAGCTATTTCCAAAGCACTGGTTCTTGAGGCTCAGCTGCCAGGCTGACTACAAATGGTGAGAGGCCTCCTGCCTCTTCCTGTCCGTCAATGCAATTACCATTGCCCCTCCCGAGAGGCCCAGTACAGGCTCAGGATTAAGTCCTAAAGGGAAATGACTGCTGACTGCCCCAGACTGGGGCTTCAAACAAACGAGCTTCTCCTGTTTCCACTGCCTCCCAGGAGGGATGAAACAGGGTGAGCTGGATCCTGGAGCCCTTTGTTCTAAAGCTGATAGGTGGCTGGTCCTCGGTCTGAGAAGGTGGGCCCAGGGTGATGCCTACGGGAAGGCAAGACCTCAGCACCAGGCAGGTTCCTTAGGTATGGGCTGCACCTGGCCCCATGCACAGCCTCAGTATCCTCGGCTACTTCCTTTCCCCGGGTTGATGTCAGTTGACCTGTTTTTTGTTACTGATACAAATTTAGTTTTGAAAGAAAACTCTGTCATGTCGTAAGTAGAAAACCCTATCATTTGCCAGAAATTAAAAAAAGGGAAACATAAAAATAAATGGTGGCAAACTGGTGATGGTGCACGCCTTTGATCCCAGCACTCTGAAGCAGAGGTCGGCAGATCTCTGTGGGTTCAAGGCCAGCCTGGACTACAAAGTGAGTTCTAGGACAGCCAGAACTGTTATACAGCTGTCCTGAAAAAAAAAAATAAAAATAAAAACAGAAAACAAAAAGGGGGCAAAAACCAATTTGTGGCAATTGAAATGATTCTAGTCAATGCCCTGAAGCCTAAGGCCTATATCCTCCCTCCCTCCCAGTTAATGGGGTGATGAGGGAGGGCATAAGAATATCCTAGTTCCAAATTGTTATTTTCTTCTGAACTTGCCCAGCACACTGAGCAGGGAATAGGCCCTAATTTGGGCAATGCTCATTCATCTGTCACTGATGGTCTATGTCCCATTGAGAAATGTCCCCAGAGGATGATCTGATCTTTGCAGGTGTAAGGAAAACTGCACCCCTAAATGACCCTATGTCTCCCTCCTGCTGATGTCAGGGAGGCTGAGGCTCTGGGCCAAGGGCCTGAGCGTTCCTTTCCCTCTGCCTGACCTGGCAGGCCTCACTGGCTGGGCACGGAACTGTGTGCAGGGGTGCCGGATCTGTGTTGGACCATGCGGGCTTAGGGAGAGGACATTAAGAGAGAAGAGAAAGAAAAGGTAGAAAAAATGGTGAACAACAAGAGGAAAGGGAGCAGGAGAGTGAAGCCTAGAAGAGAGTTCTGGCGCTTTCTGGCGCTTAGTGTCCAAACCCACGTGGTCCAAGCCTTGCTTGGTTCCATTTTGGGAGTTAGGGTAGGGAATGCCAGGGGTTGGTGGATGCCAGCTTTCCTGAGAAGCTGGAGCGCTCTCCTCCTTTCCTCTTCCTAGGTCTGGTACCCAGCTCTCTACTCTGAGTTCCATACAGCTCTCTTTGGTCGCCCACCTCCGGCAAGGCCTGACTGTTCCTGGGTGGCCAGGGCTTACAGAGACAGACCCTCGGGGCCCAGTTCTGGACCTCAGTTTCCTGATCATCGAAGGGGAGAAAGAGACTGACAGTGAACTAGAAGCGCTAACTAGAGGGAGTTTGGGGTTAGGAAACTGGAGTTTTCACCCAGTGTTGCCTGTAATTCACCAAGTGCCTGGGCTCCCATCCTTCCCTGTTCCTCATTTTCCTGGTTAGTGGATAAAGTCTTTTGTGTCCTGAAAAAAAAAAAAATTGTACTTATCTAAAAAGACTATTTCAGGCTGGAGATGCTGCTCAGTGGTTGATACTTGTCTAGTATGTGCAAGATGCTTGCTTTGACACCAAGCACCACACATAAAAATTGTTAAATTTTTAAAAATTAATCAATTCTCCTCATTTGTGAATATAAGTTTTGTTTTAGTTGTAAGCTTGATAATTTCAAGGGGCCTTTGAGCCAATGAGGCTGAAGAGAGCAGTTCCTTTTTCTGATTAAATGCATCTTACTGATTAATTCTAGCTAATTAATTCCCTCAACTCCATGCTGTCCAATATGGCCGCCCCTGTGTTCCGACCATATGAGAAGTGTCAGTGCGAAGCACAAAACAAATTCTGAAAATGAGTTAAAATCGCGTGTGTGTGCACGTGGGCACACGCAAACTAATATATGTCAGAGCATATGTGGAGGTCAGGGGGCAACTTTTGGGAACTGGTTTTCTCCTTCCAATATGTGGGTCTCATGGATGGAACTCGGGTTACAAGTGCCTTTGCCCACAATACCGTATTGCCAGCCCATATTTTATATTCTAAACTGAATTTAGGAATCGAGGGGCTCGAATATCCACACCATCCTTACTCTCAGACCCACCAGAGCGTTTCCTTTCACAGCAGAGAACGAAGACTTTCCAAAGAAGGAAGGTCTCAGACTGGGAATTCTCCTGAGGATGCTGACGATGTTGACAGGCACATCAAATCCCCTTGGATTTTTAAGTTGAACATTGACTTGAGGGCACTTGTGTCCTCAGATATCACAAGCACAGCCTCTTCACAGACCAATGCACAGAATCTGACCCAACTTTCACTTCACCCACCGCTAGAAACACTAAAAGGTTCTATTTATTTAATCATGTATTCTTTGTAAAGTCTGTCCTCCCTGGTGGGGTGTGCTGGAAGTCGGGGGCCTCCTCGAGAAGGGAGGATTTGTCATCTCAGTGGACTCAGTTGAGGTCAGTGGGGATTTTTTTGTTTTGTTTTTTCATTTTATCAAAATAAAAGATGTGATTCTTCTGTGCTGTCAGTGGCCATGCTGAGGCCTCTTCTCCTCCAACTGGGTAGTCATTTGACCCACAGTTTCTGGATACAAAGGACACAAAACTAATTTTCTATGTCTGTGTCCTCACCTGGCAGATTAAAATCCAGCACGTGTCCATTTTTCCATTACATTTTGTGCCACATTCTTCCTGCCTGTCATACAGTTCACAGATAGCATCAGTAACACAGGACAAGCTTAGGCTTCCTCTGGCTTCTTGTGCTGTCTGGTCATAGGTGATAACTGATAGGGGACAAATGTCACGGCTATTACATCAATGGCCATCCCATGTGGTAGAGCTGGCACATTTAGGCAGATATAGATGGTTTCAGAGTGAGCCGAGTGGACTGAGATACTCTGCCTACAGCTTCCATGTTTATTCTGTGTGTGCCAAGGCCTTCTGGGCTGCCCACCTCAGCCTCACTTCCTTACAAAAAAAACAAAAGACAAAAAACCCTCATGATACAGCCAGACCCTGGCTGCTAGATTCTGAGGCTAAAATACCCAAGCTTTTCCCTGAGACAAGGAAGAATAAGCAGCAGTTGGTGGGGGTCAGCAAAAATGCTTCAACCAAGCCTGGTGATGTAAATTAGATCCCTGGCAGAAGGAGAGACTAGATTTCACACACCTTGTTCTCTGGCCTCCATATGTGTGTCGTGGCAAATCGGGCAGGGGATGGAGAGGGAGGAAGGAAGGAAGGAAGGAAGGAAGGAAGGAAGGAAGGAAGGGAGGGAGGGAGGGAGGGAGGGAGGGAGGAAGGAAGGAGGGAGGGAGGGAGGGAGGGAGGGAGGGAGGGAGGGAGGGAGGGAGAAAGAAAGAAAGAAAGAAAGAAAGAAAGAAAGAAAGAAAGAAAGAAAGAAAGAAAGAAAGAAGAAATGAACAAAGCAAGCAGAGTGAGCCAGGGAGCTAGAGAGTAACTCTGACTGATCAGGACAGGGCTAGAGGGTCCGACAGAAAAAGACAGTTTTAGAACCAGGTCACCTTCCCCATGCCCAGACCACAGACTGAAGCCAACAATTTCAATGCCTGTGCTAAGGCCTAGGGTTGCACTGAGAAGTCCCCGTTGATCGGCATTCCCAGTCACCAGTGTCTTGCCATCCCTCAACCCTTCTGAAATGGTGTTTTAAAGAGGTCTCGTGTTTATTTGTAGAAGAGAATGCATGTGGCTTACAGGGAAAGCTACAGGAAAGCACCTGAATGTGCTGTGAGCAAAAAAAAAAAAGTGTCACGGAAACAAAAAGATGGCACTAGACACTAGACACCAGCCATATGCTTTGGTTGTTCTTGCTGTCCTCCAAAGAAGTGGTTCTCAGCCTGGAGGCCGAATGACCCTTTT